GCTGAGCTGATCCAGAAACTTCTATTTTTGTCTGATTTACAGTATCCGCAGTTCTTTCAGTTTTTATTTTATAATAAATGCCAGCCAATTGCTATTCTGCTGAAGCTACTGTATTCCCTTCACATAGAGTTGCTAATTGATGCTGGTGTGCATTAAGATCTGTGCACTCCTCTGATGTTGAATACAGAACCTTCCACTTTCAACGTTTTCTAGCACAGACAATATGGTAGTATAATGGTTATGTTACTTGTAATCCACTATCTAGATTTATAGGACATGTGTTCAGATTCCACCATGATGGTTTAGGAACTTGAATTCATTTTTTTCAAAGAAATCTGTGGGAAAGCTGGTGTCAGTGTTCCAAGATTATTCAACAATCCGACCACTTCAAGCAAAACTTCTGCCATTCTATACAGCCTGGATCATTTGTAAATCCAGCACTCTGTAGTGACCCATGCAGTTGTATTAAACTTCTAAAAACATATACTGTAATGGTTCAAGAACAAGATCAGCCACCAACTTCTTAGGGCAACAAAGGATCGATAGCATATGTTAGGCAAAAATGTCCAAATCTTGAAAGTGTATAACAAAATAATCCAGAGTTTCTTTGAAGTGAGTATTATGTCGTAGACACTGAATTATCCACATGGCCTAACACAAAGTGGAAATCTGCAGGTCTGTAATATATGATGAAAGTTTTGTGAAGTTATCATAATATCACCTCCCTAATGACCTGTTCCTCAATTCATTGCTCCTAAGCTATACTTACTATGAAGACTTCTGACACCATTTGTTTCGTGTAAAACAGGAATAACTATTGAAACATACTTTACAAAATTCTAGGAATGGCAATGATGCAAACACCTAAAACCACAAACCAACTATGCAGACTATTACCCCAAAATCCCCCTTTTCTCCCATGTTGGCACTTAAACCTGACAGCGATGATAAAAGGTTAGTAGTGGAGGTTAGATATTAGATTAAAGATTGAAAGAGAAAAAGGTGGTAAATCACATGGCTGGACTCAGAATATTTGAATCTCAGGCTAGCAGTTCCAACCTCCAAATGTGCTAAACCCTTCTGAGCAGCTTTGTGACAGTTTGGTGATGAAAGAGCTTAAACCTTTGATAGAGTTGTTGAGTTTGTTTGGCTCCTTCTTATGGGCAGTCTTCTTGCGGTATGCTAACAATCAGGCACACACAACATGGCTCCTCATTGAAAATGGTCTTCCGGATTGACCTTTACTGCTCCACTCACTGTTATCTGTTCCATGCTTCAAGCAGTGTGCCAGTGGTTCCTTACCAAGCGGACACTCGCGGTATGTTTCCTGTCTGGGAGCAATCCTTTCCAGGACCTCACTGCTCAAGCTCAAGCCATTAAATGAAAACATAGGGCTAAGGGGTTTGGCTTCATAACTGCAGCCCCTTGTTTTCCCCTCCAGATTGTAACCTTTCTCACCAGTCGTTTTTGACCTGTAGCATTCCTTCTTAGCTTTGTATGGATTTCTATGGCATGGGAATTCCCGATTAGAGCTGACTCCGGCTGGCTTCAAAGTCATCTTCTCAGCAATGGGCGGGGGTGATGGGAGGGTGGGGAGGGGGAGGGGTAGATGCTGGACTGATTTATAAAACTTATACAGAATAGATAAAATGAATAAGTTATCTTAAATAAGTTGATTTAAAAAAAAAATTGGCCTTAGAGTTGGTTACAGAAGGAGAATCTTTGCTAGAAAGAATAGATAGGGTTAGAACAATATTCATAGTCAAAAACTCATCTGGGCTGCATTTCATGGGGACAGCAGTAGTTCTGAAGGCAGACCAAAAAAAAACAGGGGCAACGCCACGAGTGCCAGTCAGGCAGACCCCAGCAAGGGGGGAGGAGGAGGATGTGCACGGGTCTGATGTTGGGGACATGATGTGGTTTTTCAGCACGGACTAGTGTTGTTGAACAGTCTCCCACTTAGTGAAGGGGCTCCTTCGCCTGCCCTCCAACGCACTCCACCCCATGCCTTTCTTTCCAATTCTAAGGTACCTCCACCCCTGTACACCATTTCTCATCTCACTCTCATGCATTGGATTAAATCCTTTCAAAAAAGGGCAGCTCTGATTCAGACAAAACAGATAATACTGTTAACCATTGGTGGGTGAACACTTTGTTGTCTGCAGTCACTTGTACTAGTTATGGGCTCAATGTTTCTCAGGGAAGAAGAAGATTAGCAGGCAACATGATAAAGGTTATCAATTAGGAAGAGTTTCAATAATAAGTTATATCACTGGATCAGTGATGCAGAGACCTGACCTAATATTCTAGAGATATGTGTTAGTAGTTGGTGGAATTTAAGTTCAATTAATAAATCTGGGATATAGATATTGTTAATCAAACTGTCATTGACGCACCTCTGGAGTCAGTGGAAGTTGAACTTCCTTCATGCTCAGAGGTCGGAACACTACTACTGCATCACCCTCTAAATCTAGGATACATGCTGGTCTCAGTATTGGTTCTCATGACAACTATCACTGATTGCTGCAAAAACCCGCATAGTTGACTCATATCTTTTAGGGAAGGAAATCTGCTGTCCTCACCTGGTCTGGTTTATATGTAACTCCAGTCCCACTGCAATGTGGTTGATTCTTAATTGGCTTCTGAAATGGCCTCTCAAGCCATTCAGTGCAAGAGGAATTAGGAGTGGGCAAAAAATACTGGTTTTGCCAGCGACACCTACATCCAATCAAAGAATAAGGAGAAAAAATATAGAATAGATTGTTGAAGGAGTTTGTTTTTGCAGTGTTGGAAATTAACTACCACATGGAGTGACTAAAACAGGAAGCATTGATGCATTTAAAGTGAGGTTTAATGCATTCATCAGGGAGAAAGGACTAGTAGGAAACAGGATCAGTGTAGGAAGAGGGAATTTATAATCAGAAATTTGTCCTCGAGGCAGATAGCAAAAATCGGGAAAATTGTCAGTTTCATGTGCCCACCTTAGGAAGTACCAGCTCCATGGTTACAAGACTCCAAAGAATATTTAGATGTAGCCATTACAGAGGTGGGTGTTTAAAAGTTATTGTGAAATGTTGTCCCAACTGTAAACATAAAAGGCCATGTCAAATAATAAAAACAGCCCCTTCAGCCTTCACTCCTCATAATCGCTCACACACCCTACATGCCAAGAATTTTTTCCCCTCATACAACCCCCAGAATCTGTTCTAATACATGCCCTCCTCACCAGCTCTCCCATGAACCATATGTACTCCATTGCAAGGGATAGCACTTTCACACCATTCACCCACCATGCATAGAAGCATTGAATCTGACTGACAGTTGAATATGTTAATAAAAACTTAAATGGATTCATTCATAACTGTGAGATTGATACCACAGATCAGACTCCAGAGCCACCAATCTAGCAAGGACTCAGATGTTTCAGCTCTGTCATGGTTTTCTGGACTCTAAGTTCAGGATGCAGCTAGTTCTAAAAGACAAGTTTTCAGTACTGTTATCTGCTCAGAAATGTTATGACGCACCTGAGTATCCTGTCCCTTCAGCTGTTTTATCATTGCCATGTGGAGTAAATTGAATTGCCTGAAGACTGCTTTCTGTAATGTTGTGGACCTCTGGAGGTGGATGAGATGGATCTTCTCATTGATAGTTCTGGATGAAGGTGGTTGCAGTTGCTCAGCCTTATCTTTTGCACTGATCTGTTGGACTCAGCATTTGGTGTGGATGGGGATTTTGGAGCCTCCTGCCTTAGTGGTTTAATTGTCCACCATCATTCAAAACTAGATGATGACAGAATTTCAGAGTTTCCATTTGGCCCATTGGTTGTGACTTTAACTTTTAACTTTTCAGCATGTATGTTGCAGCTTTGCCCGACTGGCACCAGACTTCTAGGTACTCCTCGTATTGCATCTGACATGCTTTCCTATATTAAATTTCATTGTTCTTCGCTCCACATAATCGATTGACCACTTTGTAACAAAATATATTTGAGTGTTTTGTCATGTTCCTACCTCAACTGATGTTTTAGGTGGGGTGTTGTTTAGGGTCTTTTTTAAAAGATTATTTTGCGCCTAAAATCCACGTTTTGCCTTCAGTGAGAAAAAAAATACCAAAAGTGTATCATCATGATGGTAATACATAGATAAATTTGACCAAGCTTGTCTGTTTGCCACCAAGTTTAAATCCTGTGAATCATTTTGGAGTATGTTTTATTTGTTAGAGACCTATTTAACATCAGACAGATGCTTCAACAAACTGGAGTGACATCAAAAAATGGAATATGGTCTCGAGAAACAAATAAAACTATACCTAGCAATCATGTAAATTTCTGTAAAGAGGACTCAAAATTTATTCGAAACTGAAGAACTTATTTAATTTGTACAGATTTCCAAAATGACAATTATCTAATAGAATGGCAATAAAAGGATTGAGGGACTGAATGGCGTCTTCCTGCACTCATGAAATTCCTCAGATTTTCCTTGCATTGCACGGTTAATATTGTTATGATGTAATAAGAATAGATACATGTGAAAGCTGAATCATAACCCTTTACCTTTCTTAGAATGTTTTTGTGAAAAAAATTGAGTGATAAAAATGTAAGATGTTTTTAATGTTTCCCAATTCAATTAATGCCTGAAAGCAAAAACTAAGTTCATAATTCCATCAGCAAGATTATCACAGTTAGGCTCTGACCTGCTATACACATTTGAAAGGGCAAAAGGTAATGGATATTCAACTCTGCTAACAGTATTCCTTTTAGGATCTTGGATAAAGTATATATAATGCACAATGTCAAAGCTCTACGCTCGTATAAAGAGCCTAGAGTCATTATTGTGAATAAAATCAATACTCTATGAATGTTTCATCTTCAACTCCAATTTAACTTCTGAAGAAATTGAATATATATTTTTGGAAAAGCTTTAAGAAGTAAGAGACTACATTTAGCGTGTTGCATGTTGCTAATTGCTATCTAATCTAATGCTATTTTTTCTTTCTTCCAGTCCTGGTACCTGGGATAAAGGCCATAGCTTCCCGCCACCCAGCAGACAGATCACCTGACCCCTTCCCAACTCTGTAACATGGGAGCAAGACATCTTCACTTCAAGCTGTGGGGGGAGGGGAGATCAATAGAATTTCAACAGAAGAAATGACATGAAACAGCATGCCTAAAGGCTGAATGATGAAGACCATAGCAATGGATTTACTTAATAAGAACTGGTCATACTCGTCATTTTTGTTACCGTGCTATTGATATGTAAGGGTCTGTTACTGAGGAACTGAAATACTTAGGCTCTGTTAGAAATTGATGAAGTGTTTTAATAGTTGAACATAGTAGGCATAGCAAGGTAGTTTCTCATACCGGATAGAAATAGTCCGTTATCACTTACTGACTGTATGATTATTACACAATTATGTAGAGTCTAACTATTTCAGCCTATCTCGAGCAAGCAGGGACCCTCAACAGGTAAAATATTAGTGAAAGATAATGAAACACACGTGTTTTGAAGTTCCATAGCTAAATCCTGCAAGATACAAAATACTGCAACATCATGGAAATAGCTAGGGCAGCTTTCTCTGCAACATATCACAAAATACAGCTCTTCTTTTTTTCCAGAAAATTAATTGAACTCAAACACAGCTATATACTGACGTACATCAGTTATCATGGCTCGAAAAGGCATCCTGAAAGGTATATAAAATTCAAATATCTCATAGCAAGAAGATTAAAATGCTGCATTCACACCAATTTTTTTTTGTTTCTTTTCTCTGACATTTAATAAGAAAAATGTTAAAAATAAGAAATCCATGCAAACTGGGGAGGATGGTCTGCTTTGATTGAAACTGACAGGAATCAATCAAAAAAGGTTTAATTTTTTTGATTAATTGAGTAAAGTGCAATTTCATTGGATAGTTAAATAACTTTGTATGATAGAGATTGTTGAAAATTCTATTTTTGTTTTCCAAGTCCTCCCACCCCAGGACTCTAAACTATCGGGGTAAAATCATAGCCTTGCAAGAAAAAAAGGGGAGCTATTTTTTGCTTTTTTTATTTTTTTTAAAATAAACTTGCATCCCTCAAGTAAACTGAAGGAAGATTTAAAAAAAAAATTAAAAAAAAGCTAATGGTGCTTTTACCAGATCATGTAAACTACATTCAAAATTATAGCTAATCGTTGTTTTAACTAAGCACATAATGGAAAATCGCCACATTGTACTACAAGTAAATTTCTTTCCAAGTTCAAAGACACAGTATGCGGATTGAGATCTTGATGAATTTATTAGTGTTCCACCTTAGAACACTGGAATTCAGATCCACACATTATATCTAAGAATCTATCCGTATTGACTTAAGCAACTTGTACATGTAAGTAATAAAAAAAACATTGCATTGAAATAGATTTTTGACCAAACAGCAAAGCAAGCCCTCATCCATGCTATGAGGTGTGCTTTGCAAATATTTAACAAACCATTTTCCCATGGTATACCAACCGTATATATTCTCTGCTTGGCTTGCCAGCCAAACAGACATTTAAAATGCATGATCTAGTGTTAGTGACTAATTTTTATATAGACAATGTAGGAAAAATGTATAGTGCATTATGACACAAGAAATATAATCCCTATTCCGGGCACTTGCCTTTTGAAACGTACTTGTTGGGCCTAAGAAAAAGGGCCTGTACTACTGTCCTATACAATCAGTAAACAGAAAGTCTTGGGAAGACACTTTTGCTCCTCACTTTTTCCCTAATGGAATAAGTTTCTTGATTTGCACGAATAATATGAAAAAATTCCGCATCAATGTGCCTTGCCCTGGATAGCAATTATACGTGGAATCATTGCACATGTTCCTATAATGTAACAATCCTCTTGGGTCTTTTCCTGGTGTAGCAATCAGAGACACTTTTTAAATGCGACATTGATGTCAGCCATTGTAAAGTTTCAACATGTAGTAAACAAATCAGTTTTGCCGCATATAGGATTAGATTTCATTGTCCTGTACGGTCAGTGCTTTTGAAATCTGTAGATGCTAGTGTATCAATATTTTTTGGATGTTGCTACGTTTTAATATTATTTGGTGTCTTCCTTTGTTTTCCCAGATATATGAAAAAATATGCAATACCTGATTTATCATGTAGAAATGCTTAGCAAGTTTTACTTTAATTTTTTTTTATTTGACCAAAGTTGGTGCTGCTGTTAACGCAGTCTGTTAGGTGTTTGTCTTGTAAATTATAAACGCTGAATGCACAGACAGAAAGGGCTCTCCTTAGAGTTGCAGTAGAACTGTGAAGCACTAAGCTGAACCCTGCTCCAACAAATTTCAGAACAGTTTGTTCACATTTGAGCCTTAAACTTTCATTCAAATCCCAGACCCATTTTTTTTCTCAGCATAGCAGACTGCAAGGAACTTGCATTCAAGAAAAATCAAAAAATGCCCATTTTATATGCACATTTGAAACTTCCAAGTTTTCAAATTGTTTACTGATTATGTATATTAAAATGATTGAAACAAGTTTCTGGATTTTGATAGGTGTCTACTAAGTGGTGAGTAAGTGTTCCACAATACTGTATTGTGTGATTGTAATTGTTCGATGTAATTTCTTGTAATCCACATCCTTAGCCTTCCTTTAGCACGTAGCTGGGCATTACATTGACATATGTGCACTATAAAGAGCAGCTTGCAGTGCTTCACAGTGAAGGAAATAGCACGGACAAACTTTTTTTGTAAGAACCTTGTTAAAAGCCAAGGTTTAAGAGTAGAATTGGTTGTACATACAAAATAATAAGTAAAAGAAATTGCACCCTGTTTTTAAAACAGTTTTAAAAAAAAAGCAATAGTTCGGGCAGTTTTTTTAAATTTTTTTTTCGTTGGTGAGTGCGATTAGTCGTGGCTGCAAAGCAAGGAAAGAAAAAAAGTTGAGCTGCCCATTCAGCAGATTTGTAATTTGTATGTTGTATAGTTGTATTAATTACACTGATTTAATCTGCCCTATTTTGTAATGCAGGAACTTTTGTAACATTGTTAAAATGAGAAAAAAAAATCTGTCAACTTAGCTTAGTGGATTTTCTGATTGTTTGTTATAAGGCAGCATTCGTAGTATTGCTATTCCTCTGGGAACTGGATTTGAGTTTAAAACTTTCCTGTTTCCTTTTTGTATGTATTTAAGTACTTTATTTTTCTTCTTCGATTGGTATGGCATATTCCTATACTTATAAAGTGTAGGCTACTGAAGAACCATTGTAAATGGATATTACATGCTGTATTTTTGAAGGTATTTGTTGTTTCAAGTCTGAAAGATGCTAGGGGAACCTGAACAAATTTAAAGTTTAAAAAGGAAAAGTTTTTTAAAAAGGTTTGAAAAAAATGATAGTGTGTAGGCAAAAGCGTAAAGGATGAAACAGACTGGGGTTGTAAGTATTATTAAGCTAAGTCTCTTCCACAGTATCAAGCAATGAACACAACAAAATGAGAATTCAGTTTCATTCTGGAGGTATAGACAGCATGTCATTTTGTAAATCCACGAGAAGTGTGATTTTTCTTTCTTTCCCGCTCCCCCTGCCCTTCCCCTTCCCCTTCCCCCCTCCACCACCACCAACCTCCTCAAGCTGGTTAAATGTTACCTTAACCCACTGAGTATTGAATTATCATTTCTAGAATGTAACCTTAGAATGTTGCCAAGGTAGAAAAAGAACAATGTTCATGTCTGCAACATCAGGTTAGAAATGTATGTTTTTGTCTTTTTTATTTGTACGAAACAATGATCATGGTTTTTTTTTGTCTGACAATAAGTCTGCAGTTCTGATTGACCGACTTCAGAGTCAAGGTTGAGCTTAGTCAAATAACAGTAGTGCCAGACTAAAAACTGCCTGAAGCGCTAGATCAGCTTTTCTTTACCAGAAAGGGAGGGAGAGGGATAAAGACCACACAAGAATAAGATTTCCTCTCAGAAGCATAGTTTGCAGAACTCAGTCAGCCCGCAGGAATATGCAAGTTCCATGACAGGTTGTCTCACCTTTTTCTTCATGCATTTTGCAGCTTTGTAGTGGCAGTGTTGTTAAAATATATACTGGACAAAAAAAAAACAGATACACAGCTTGAGACAGTTTTTTTTCCTTGTGGTGATTTTTGGAATGTCAAACAATATTACACTTTGAATTGTGTCTCTGGAAATATCTTTGATAGAAGGCCTCCATGGAACAAAGTACCATAAGAACATGACTTTGAGTTTGGCTTGATAATATAAGGAGAGCTTTAATGGCACCTGGCAGGATTCAGATGCACTAAAATTAAAAAGTCTTGTCTTGAGAGTAATGCATGCATCAGCGTTTGACAGTAAAATTCAGCTTTGCAACTGCAAACCTAGGCTGTATAACAGTTCAGCTCGTAACTTAGGAAGTCTTTTGAATAAAAAAAAGTTTAAAATCTTTCCAGCCAGTACCGAAAATTGCTTTGATGTGTAGCAGGTAACATTGAAGCTGTCCATAGCACTTAATTGTAATGAATACTGTGTCATCAACTTTATAATTAAATTTACTGTTAAATGCAAATCCATTACATGGTGCTATTACAGGCTGGCAATGAAATGTGACAACTTGGGCTCACTTCACTTGCTTTATGACAGTGTAAATGTGTAGCAGTGTTTTCTGCATGGGAACTATGCACAAAATCTATCGTTAACCTTGGTATCTATTGAGTTTACGTCAATCCTTGCCTTTTGTCATTATTATAAATGCCAGCTTTAGATAAAAGAAAGAAATAAGAATACCAGCATATTACCTGAAACATTACAAAAAGTGGTGCCTGTGAAATCTGTATTATATGAATCTTCTGAACTACAATTTTCTACAACGGTCGCCTTCGCTGTCTGTCAGAACCTTCTCCTGATGATTAAGCAAATGTAAAGTAACCATACAATATTACTGCATGCTATTCCATAATGCTTATTGAGCTGTATAAATATTACTCAAGTTTATGTTAGTCATTTTTTTTTCCTGACTTGGTTCTTGTCAGATAGTTTTAAAGATATTTCACTGAGAACACATCTGTCTATTTTTGGGGGTGTTTTCAGTATTTTTCGAGGTAATACATTTACTTTTTAAAAACATTTTCAGTATTACTTTTTTGTTTGTTTATTTTGCTTCACCCTAGGGGGTGGGCACAGTTCAAAATTTAGAAACTGTGTACCCGACAACACTTACCTGAAAGTTACCTATAAGTGGCATCGCACGCGATTCAGTTTAATTTTTTTTAATGACGTCTGTGCATTTACCGTCCCATTACTGTGCAGCAGTGCTGTTTTGTCTGGGTTAGAAGCTCCTTTCCCAACAGAAGGACTTAAAAGAAATTTAGATCTTTGGGAGCAGGTAGCACTTTAACAGGCGGGTGAATGGGTACCCGTGCCCACCCCTACCTTCACACCAGAGCACGTATTTTTAAAACGAGAAAAAGTGGCTGTTTAGTTTCATGCACGGTTGAACATTTACTTTAGATGAATTCAGTAAAAATGTTGTGCCTCTAGTACTGGCAATGATTCTGTTCTCGTGGTCATTTTTTTAAAAAAAACGTGTATGTGAAAGTATGTTATTGGTTGAGAAACACTGTGGGCATCAATTCTTACTCAACTAAATCTCTGCAAGTTTTGAGCTGGTGTGGATTAGTTTAACTCTTGTATTCAACCATAGTGCTACCACCTTCTCACATTACAATACGATTACTGGAAGCAAGTGCTGCATTTCCTATGCAACATAAAAAGGAAAATAAAATGCTAATGCTACTGTACTTTGCATTCATGTCTCATTTTTATGGTGTCTTTAGTTACAGTGGCAAGCAACATCCTACAGAAAACTGGGGCTTGGTGATGCCCGACAGGGTATTATTCCTGTCTAAGTGCATAAGCAAGTCAGGCAATGTGTGTAATGGCCTACTATATACTTTGCCAAAGTTTGAATTTAACATGCTGTGTCTCCTTGTTCTGTCTGAGCAACCATACATTTTTATGTTTCCAAACATGACCGTTCAGCTACAGTACTGACAAAATAGTTCTATTAGCACTCTATTATTACAGAGCATCCTGCTATTTAAATTGCTCATTTTCTAGATTTCTCCCTTCCATAAGATGATAATGGTGACTATAATTCATTCATTCAATGTGAATTGCTTCAAGATGTTAATGAGAAACATAAAAAACTGTTGTATAAGGGTTACTCTTTTTCCTTGCTTCTGAGGAGACCTTTTTTAAAAAATAAAAGTATAGTGATTGAGTTGATCATCTAACTTGCTTCAAAAGAAAACTTCTGCTGCCCTTCCATTCTTAAAGCACTTTCAATTCAAAGTTCACATGATATGGAGCATCTTATAATTCAGTTTCTTACTTGACCACTTACTTATTTTGATTTTTAAATCTCTTTCATGGGTTACATGGCACAGAAACAAACAGTTTGGCCCAAACAATCTGTTCCAGTATATATGCTTCATTCCAGACTCCTCTTTCTTCATCTATATCTATCATCATAACTCTCTATTCACCTCTCCCTCAGATACTTGTTATTCCCTTTAAATGCATCGTACTTTGCCTTACTTTCTTCTACAATGTTAAAGTGTAGAATTTTATTCTGCATAAATTTAATTCTGTATCTGGTATTTCTGTCTCTGTAACACATCACCATTGCCTTAGCTCATCTGCTGCTGAAATTGTCATTCGTGCCTTTGTAACGTCTGGATTTGACTAGTCCAACTCCTTCCTGCTGACTTCCCACATTTTAACTTCTGTAAACTCAATGTCACCCAAAACTCTGCTGCCTATGTTCTAACTTGTACCCTTGTGTACAGTTCGAATATATACCTCAGGGAGGAGCCTCTGACTGATATTCATTACAGAGGAATGGTTGTAGTTAGATTTTGGACATAGAGTAACTTTTTGTTCTCTATTATTATTATATGCAGTTATTTAAAATGAATGACCAATATACCCAAAGTGAATTTCTGTATGGAAATAATGAGAGGAATCTTCCATTCCCTAGGATGGTATGGAAAATGGTAAAAAATGTGGGGAAAAAATCAGAATGTTGGCATTGAGAAATAATTTCCCGTTTTCCCCTTAAGGTTTAAATAAGACTTGCAGCATTTGCATCTCATTATTAGCCCAATTTGCCTCACTTCCATGCAGCTTCCAGTTCTCCCTTTGAGAAACCTGCCAGTGCCAAATCCTGGCGTGAGTGTCAGAGCAGGCATCTGGTGGTTACAGCTTGCCATTTGCTTCTCCAGGATTTCATAGAAATCATAGAAACCCTACAATGTGGAAGCCGGCCACTCAGCCCATCAAGTCCCTTCTGTCCCTCCGAAGAGCATCCTACCCCAGTTCACAAATCCAACAAATTGTTGCAATGCTTTTACGTTTGTTCATCACTGCATCTCTACCAAGGCTCTCACCTTCACAGAACTCAGGTGAAATCCTTTCACTGTGAGTACACGACCCATGTACCTGACTTCAGGCATCTTCAATTGTATCTTTTTCTTCATCATTGTTATCATAGCTTTTCTTCTGCTGTTCTCTGGTGACAGACTCATGTCAGGCTCTCCTTGGCAGATGCTGTGTTGTTTTCCAGGGTCTGACTAGCTACCAATGCCTTTGTTGCCTGCCAACTACTGCAAATATCTTCTGGTTGCTGTAGGGTTACCAGGCTAAGCTTTTGTCTTGCTTCAGCTGAGATAAGTAGATTTCTTTAGCAAGTACTATCTAAAACACCCTATCTTCTTCATTCCTATAGCATTGGGCTCTCAGCTTCATTTATTCCCTTGCATTCATTACCATCATATAGACTTATCTATATCTTTAAGGGCTTCATTTTTGGGTTGTCACCTTGAGCCATCTCTCAGATTTACAAAGCTCATAGTGCATTAAGTACCAGTGTACATCTGTGACTTCACACTTGATTGATCTCCTTCTGCAGTCATCATTCTAACAGTCACAAACTATTTGTGATATAATCTGTTTTATGATGTAGAGTGATTCATCAGAATTATCAGCTAAAATCTATAGCCATCTTTCTATTGTTGCTTTAATTCTTTCTAGCTAAGCACATGCATGCCAAGTAATTCCGCTTCTTAGAGTATTGCTTTCCCCATACTGCATGCTTCCTCTTTTGTTTTGGTCTACATGGGCTGATCTTTTATGTGGTGCCCTCCACAGCATTTGCACCCTGTCCTCTAGGCTTTATCTTCCTGTTGGTTCTTCTGCAAATATTTATTCCTTGTTTTTTCTAATATATTGTTCTCCAGTCGGAAATATCTCTCAGCATAATGCAAAGCCTCATATGTTGTATTCATATGCTGTTCCTGATTATTTACAACCTCAGAGTTTCTGTACATCAACAGCTTTCTTGAGAGTATATTTCTCCCCTATCAACAGATGTACTCTCACGGTGGGATCTCTCATGCCTAAAACAACCCAATCTCTGATTAGGTCATCTTTCAATTGTACAAACACTCAAGATTCACCTAGATATACCAGTGTCATCACATACTGATCAATAGTCTCCCTCTCCCATGAGCTCTGGTATTGAACACACTGTTCATAAATAATTATAGTAATATGGATTTCAAAGTATACTTTCAAAAATATTCCTCCCTGGTCCTCTGAAATCTAGGCTGTAATACAACTTGTGGCACTGTTTCCCCAGCCCTGATAGCATTGTCAATCTCATTTACTCTGTTTTTATTTAATTCGGTGGTTATTTCATAGATTTGCCACACCATTGAGAGCTGAACAAAAATCAGTTCTGTCCCATTTTTCCTTTCGTTTCCATGGCAGTCTGATTCACCTGTCGCTTCAAAGCTGCAGACAATTTTAATTCTTCCTTGATTTTTTTAAACAATGGCCATCTCTCTTACTGTTTCAAAAATCCATGCAATTTCAGTTGAACACATCTGATACCATGTTGCATGTCATGTGTTTTAATGGCTGCCACAAGTTAATGTGAAAGCACTTAAAGCAGAAGTAGAGGTCACATGACTATGGCAAGTTAGGCAATACACTATGCACAGATGCATTTCTCCAAACAAATAAGAAGCAAAGAAGACCACGGAAGCTACTGAACAGACAATGTCTGGTGTGATTAGGAACAGTAATAGATTCAAATGGTTGAAGAAGCTAAGCTAGTTCATAACCAACAACAATGGAGTCAAACAACAACTTCAATGTTGCTGATGGACAGGATGTTAGTAATAGTTTTGTGTAAACAGACTCCAAATAAAATGGTAGAATTCAATTCACCCTAGAAGTCACTTGTCAGTTGTTGAATCACATTAAATTTTCAAGTAAACATAGTATTACAATAGATGCAACTTTATTATATCCCCAAAATGGCCCATGTAGATTCATATGGCACGGAAACAGATCTTTCAATCCAATGTAGTATGAAGAGTTTGGAAATTCATATTTACTGTATTCATAGTCCCGAAGATGTCACTAGCACCTTTTCGAACTCTGCCTTAAGAATTACTCACAGCAGCTATTGATAGCTTAGGTCGGTTAATGGGAATTTATGTCCTAGAATGACAGTCTAACACCTTTTATAGCTTGCTGGAATTTGCCAATAATGGAGACTCGTGTACTGTACATGCATTAAGATATTTCAAAATGCAGCATTAAAAGTCTGCCATAAATCCATTGATGCATTCCAATGCTGCTTCAAATTAACTAGGGCAAGGCCTCTGTAAAGTGGTGGCATTCTGCTGGCTGCAATGTAATACAGTACATTGATGTATCACCATATAATCCAACTGGATGCCTCAGTAAAAGTTTTGCTTTCAGCAGCTTATTATAATTTATTACCTTTAAATTTTAAAATCCCTTACTTTTTTGTGAGAGAAACCATTGGATCTAAAAAGAACATGCTTGGAATGACATATTTCTTTGTTTTGTACAAAACATCACTAATAAAATTTAGATGAGGTCTTTATGAATTTACATGTTTCCTTCATGTATCAGCATAGTAATACCCAAATCCAGTATGTTGGACAGGATGCACATGTTACATCAGTGTTATTGAACTCATTGCTGGCAACTCTAAGCATATCAGATTCGTCCCATGCTTACATCTTAATGAACAAGAGTGCATTAGCATTGACCATCTAATGGTTTAGCTTCTAACAATCTCGGAGTCAGCATTTTCCCCAAGACAGTCCTCATTATTATCATCAAACCTGCTGGTCAAACAGAAATATTCCTCAAAGAAAAATGGAAACAGATATAAAGAATGAAAAGTTCATTGTAAGTGTTGGCAATTTATTAACGAGCTATTGACGTTGAGATGTTTCTTTGTTGAAAAGATGTAATTAATCACAGAGAAGTTGACTGTGCTAATATCAGCTCTCCCCTTGTGACTATTGACTGACCCTGTATTGTATCTTTTCTTAATTTAGTGAATTAAGTTGAATTGCCTTCTGAATGTTATAATAATGACTGCATCAATAGGCATTTATGCTAAACAATTCTATGTTTTAGTAAAATAAAAATGAAAAATACAATTCTGTAGTAAAATAAAATGTTGGAAATTTGGAATCAGTAAAGACAAAGGAGTTTGACATTTCAACTGTGTTAATGCTTCAGCACAATGGGTAAGTGAATATCAATCTCTTTTGTGGTCAGTGGGGGTGGGGTTCCTTTGTGAGTTTTGCTGCTCCTTTTACTTGGCTACCCTTAAAAGTACTGCTTTGCATTGAGGATGTGCATATAATGATGAGGGACATATACAATGAATGTGGCTGAATTAGAGTCA